GATTTTTGTGATTTGGACGATCATCTAGTAGACAAAGCTCCGAATAGCCTTCCTCCGCGATCGACCCGAGTCGGGTAACTCGGTTATCCTTTGCCCATCAAATTATACTAAACAGTGCCTTAGTTTTGTTGAATTTTTTTTTCAGAAGAGTTGAATTCTTGAAGCCTTGTTTTGATGCCTTGAAATTCTGAGATATTGAGCTTTGAAAATACACTACGGATCCATGTTTTTATTCCTTGGAAATTGCGAAAAATCCAATCTTGAAAAACGAGCGTTGACCCTTAACCGATCCCTGACCATCAGTTAAGTAGCCATAGCCACAGGGTACGAGCCTTAGCTAGGCCTGCTGGCAATGAGTCACAGCGTGCAGGTCGTGCACGCCGCGTGCAACCCGCAACGGTTGTGCGATGCACTGCAGAGACCCGCAGTGGCCCGTGCATGATGCCGCAGTCCCCCCGTGTTGCCACAACATCACCCACAGCGTCCCAGTGTCGCACACAATGCCTGTGCGCCATATTGGCCAATGCCCCGCGATGCCCAGGGTTCCTAAATGCACAGTGTCGTGCATCACACAGCCCCAGACGTCCTGCCAGCGACCCATGAAGACCCAGGCCAACCGCACCATCTGCACGCGTCTGCGCCTAGCGACCAGACAACGCCGTGCTGCAGACCCATGTGCACGCCACAGCGCTAGCAGCAGTCAACGCACTTTTGGCGAGCCACCATGAGCCAGTCCGGTCGGACCCGAGCCAGCGACCAGTCCACGTGGACCTGCAAGTGATTTTTCAAGTCGTCGATCCATTCTCAAGCCTTTTTACCCATTTTTCGTGCTGAAACAAAAATTTTGAACTTGTGACCCTTTTTTTCGAGATTTTTCATCTTTGACCGAAGGTTCTTATTTTCCACAAATTTTATACAGTCCTTAATAAATTAATTTTGATTAAGTGAAAAATTCAATAATTTTTTGAGTTTATGAGATAATTTATTTATAAGAATGATCTCGCATAATTTTAGGTTTCCGATGAGTTGAGCCCTCGAACCTACCATGAAGCATTGACATAATTGTCATTTCCGAACTGAGGTGGGTGTCACTAATTTATTATCCCTTTATTATTTATAATCACATGATTCAATAATTAATGTATGGATGTATCATCTGAAAAGCGTGCATCCACTTGTCATCTTGCATGGGGAGAAGTCCTTTTTTAATCGACATGTATCCCCAAGACTCCCAACACACCATATGACTCATGTAAATGTCATAATAATTTTTACCTTTTTACTTGCCATAAATTGTAAAACTTAAAAAAAAAAAAACATGCAAAATGCGCTCTCCAACAACACAAGCACATTTATTATCGCAATAAAATATACTATTATTTTCTTTGCCAATCTCGCAATACCGACTTATTACCGATCTATTTTCTTTCTAATACTCTAAATGCGGATTAATACTTTGTTGAATCCCAAACATCAACATCTACCAATGCTCACATTTCATACACTATTTATTAGCGATAAATTTAGATTAAAAACTAGATCATAAACGATATCTAATCCAACATATTGTATTATTAGTAGTTTTAATAAATTTAAAGGCCTCGATTGGACCAAGCATACGGCCAAAAATGATGAGAAACATGCACACAAAACATTAGGTGCGAATACCAATAGATTGTTATTTGAATTATTAGCATATATATAACTTGATTTGAATACAAATAATGGATCAATACATGCATTGCCATTAGCTATATATGCATATAAAAAATATAAAATTCTTTTGGCACATTATTAATTAATATTAAAAATAGGATAACAAGTTGTAATCGGCACAGACAAGCCTTATTAGTGCATGTTGATTGCACAGAAGGAAAAGATGGCAACCCCAACAAGGGATCCCACGGCAGGCAAAACAGCACCACTCATGAATGGGGCGATGGATGGGCCCAGAGTTGGAGCATCAGCCTCATATTGGGCCATGGCAGCGCTCATGGATGCCCCAACGACAATTAGGGCCGCACAAGCAATCTTTTTCATCTCCATGACGGTGATTGTCGACAAAAATGTAGTCACCGTTTGACTTTGTCGGTGGCTTGCGTGTATGCGCCTTTATTTGTGAGTCGAATATGGTGGTGGCATGGTGACCCTTTTATAGCCATTGTAAGTCTATTTCTGGAAATATTTATGAAAAAATATGGTCCTAGCCTTTTAGCTTACTATCTTTAGAATGTATTAGTTGGACAACAGTCTTTTGGTATCGGGATTTTATATATAAGCATTTGTTTATTTTTTGGAAGTTAAGATCTCTATGAATAGTTTAAGCATATAATTGTAGGGAAAAATATAAAATTCAGTTTGTGATTATATGGGTTTTCAACTATTATTCCCATTAAAATTGGGTTTCTCATTGATCACGTATCTTTTAAAACAAAAATCAAAAGTAAGACAATTATTGTTGAAACTTTAAAATTCATCAAAAAGACACATCACGTCGATGTGTCTTAATAATATTACAGTTGGTCTATTTGACTTCCATGTGGCGGATGACATGACAAAATATCATTAGTCTCATAACTATATAGATATTTCAATATTAGTCCTATTACAAAAACCAATATTTTTTTTTTCATTTCTACACAATCTTATTATTAGGGCATGTCTGGTTGGGCTGATTGGACATGATGTCAGCCCAATAGATATTACATCCACAAGTTTATATTGTTTGGTAGGGTTCTGATAATCTTTGATATTGCTAAATCCCACGTATGTATAACCTAATAATTATACTCAAATCCCACAAATTTTCTTAGATACAATACTTAACTCTTATCCCTCAAAACTTCATTTACTAAAATACCAC